TAGCAGTCATGTTTCTCCTTCGTGGTAGCTGATGCAGTGCTGTCTTTTGACTTCCAGCCTGGGAACAATGTTGGTGAAGCCGATGTTTTCGGTTGCTGCTAAGTGATGTTTACCCTGACCAAGGACTTTGTGAGGCTCATGCTCTGCCAGGGAGGAGGGGAAGCCGGGAGGAAGCAGACGGGGCACCTGACCCAGGCTAGCCAGGGAGGTATTCCATACCACAGCACCAAAACAGACCCAAAACAGGCAAAAAAAAGACCCAAACCACGTCAAAACCAGCCAAAAACCACCCTGTCCTGCTTCTGCTATGGGATACAGGGTCAGAGGCTCCAAACAGCCCCAAAATAGGACAAAACAAACCCAACACACCCCCAAAACAGGCCACAACACCTCAAAACCACCCTCTTCTGCTTCTCCTATGGGATACAGGGTAAGAGACCCAAAACAGACTGAAAAAAAAAACCAAAACAGGAGGAAACCACCCCAAAACCACCTTGTCCTGCTTCTCCTGTGGGATACACGGTCAGAGCCCTGAAACACACCTAAAACAGGCCAAGTATGACCCAAATCACACCAAAACCAGCTCCAAAACCCCAAACCAACCCAAAACCACCTTGTCCTGCTTCTCCTATGGAACACAGGGTCAGAGCCCCAAAAAAGACAAAAAACATGGCAAAAATAGGAGAAAACCATCCCAAAACGACCTTGTCCTGCTTCTCCTATGGCATACAGGGTCAGAGCCCCAAAACAGACCCCCAAAAAAAACAAAACAGGACAAAACCACCCCAAGGCCACCTTGTCCTGCTTCTCCTGTGGGATACAGGGTCAGAGCCATAAAACAGAACCAAAACAGGACAAAAACACTCCAGAAACCCCAAAACCATCTCCAAAACCCCCAAACCAACCCAAAACCTCCTTGTCCTACTTCTCCTATGGAACACAGGGTCAGAGCCCCAAAGAAGACAAAAAACATGACAAAAATAGGACAACACCATCCCAAAACCACCTTGTCCTGCTTCTCCTATGGCATACAGGGTCAGAGCCCCAAAACAGACCCCCAAAAAAAACAAAACAGGACAAAACCATCCCAAGGCCTGCTTCTCCTATAGGACACAGGGTCAGAGCCTCAAAACAGACCTAAAACAGGCCAAAAACACACCAAAACACCCCAAAAAGCAGGACAAAACCTCCTTGTCCTCCTTCTGCTATGAGATACAAGGTCAGGGCCCCAAAACAGACCTAAAACAGAACAGAAAAGCCCCCAAGCCACCCCAAAACCACCTTGTCCTGATTCTCCTATGGCATACTGAGTCAGAGTCCCAAAACTGACCCAAAAAACCCCCAAAGCAGGACAAAACCACCCCAAGGCCACCTTGTCCTGCTTCTCCTGAGGGATACATGGTCAGAGGCCTGAAACAGACCCAAAACAGGCCAAGTACAACCCAAATCACCCCAAAACCAGCTCCAAAACGCCCCAACCACCCCAAAACCACCTTTTCCTGCTTCTTCTATAGGACACAGGGTCAAAGCCTCAAAACAGACCCAAAACAGCCAAAACACCCCAAAAAGCAGGACAAAACCTCCTTGTCCTCCTTCTGCTATGAGATACAGTGTCAGGGCCCCAAAACAGACCTAAAACAGAACAAAAAAGCCCCCAAACCACCGCAAAACCACCTTGTCCTGTTTCTCCTGTGGGACACAAGTTCAGAACCCCAAAACAGGCTCAAAAAAGGATAAAAACAACCAAAATAGCCCCAAAACAGACCAAAACCAGGCAAAAAACAGACCAAAACACCAAAAGCAAACCCCAAACCATGCCAAACCACCCTGAAACCACCTGGTGCTCCTTCTCCTAAGGTACACAGGGTCAGAGCCCCAAAACAGACCCAAAATAGCCCCAAAACAGGCCAAAAAGAGGCAAAAACAAGGCCAAAACACCCAAAGCAAACCCCCAAACAACCCCGAACCACCTTGTCCTCCTTCTCCTATGGGATACAGGGTCAGAGCCTCAAAACAGACCCAAAACAGGCCAAAACCAACCCAAAACACCCATAAACCCAGCCCAAAACCACCTTGTCCTGCTTCTCCTATGGGATACAGGGACAGAGCTTCCAAACAGCCCCAAAACAGCATAAAAACGGTCATAAACCCCCAAAAGAGCCCCAAAACACCCCAAAAACACCTTGTCCTGCTTCTTCTATGAGATACAGGGTCAGAGCCCCAAAACAGGACAAAAACAGGCCAAAACCACCCCAAAACCACCTTGTCCTGCTTCTCCTATGGGACACAGGTCAGAGCCCCAAAACTGGACAAAACCACCCCAAAACCACCTTGTCCTGTTTCTCCTGTGGGACACAAGTTCAGAACCCCAAAACAGGCTCAAAAGAGGATAAAAACAACCAAAAACTATTCAAAACCACCCCCAAAACAACCCCAAACCACTCTAAACCCACAAAAAAACCACCTTGTCCTGCTTCTCCTGTGGGATACAGGCTCAGAGCCCCAAAACAGACACAAAACAGGCCAAAAAGAGGAAAAAAACACACCAAAACATACCAAAACACCCCTAAACCAGCCCAAGCCAACCCCAAAACCACCTTGTCCTGCTTCTCCTATGGGATACAGGGTCAGAGCCTCAAAACAGACCCAAAACAGGACAAAAACAGCAAAATCAGCCACAAAACACCCCCAAACCACCCCCAAAACAACTTGGGAGGCTTCTCCTCTGGGATACAGGGTCAGACCCCAAAACAGCCCCAAACCAAGCCAAAACCAACCCAAAACATCCAAAACTGCCCCAAAACAACCCAAAACCACCCCAAAAAACCCTTGTCCTGCTTCTCCTATGGGATACAGGCTCAGAGCCCCAAAACAGACACAAAACAGGCCAAAAAGAGGAAAAAAACACACCAAAACACCCCAAAACACCCCTAAACCAGCCCAAGCCAACCCCAAAACCACCTTGTCCTGCTTCTCCTATGGGATACAGGGTCAGAGCCTCAAAACAGACCCAAAACAGGACAAAAAACGCAAAATCAGCCACAAACCACCCCCAAACCAACTTGGGAGGCTTCTCCTCTGGGATACAGGGTCAGACCCCAAAACAGCCCCAAACCAAGCCAAAACCAACCCAAAACATCCAAAACAGCCCCAAAACAACCCACAACCACCCCAAAAAAACCTTGTCCTGCTTCTCCTATGGGATACAGGCTCAGAGCCCCAAAACAGGGCAAAACCAAGCCCAAAGCAGGCCAAAACACCCAAAACAACCCCCAAAACAGGCCAAAACCACCCCAAAATCACCTTGTCCTGTTTCTCCTGTGGGACACAAGTTCAGAACCCCAAAACAGGCTCAAAAGAGGATAAAAACAACCAAAAACTATTCAAAACCACCCCCAAAACAACCCCAAACCACTCTAAACCCACAAAAAAACCACCTTGTCCTGCTTCTCCTGTGGGATACAGGCTCAGAGCCCCAAAACAGACACAAAACAGGCCAAAAAAGAGGAAAAAAACACACCAAAACACCCCAAAACACCCCTAAACCAGCCCAAGCCAACCCCAAAACCACCTTGTCCTGCTTCTCCTATGGGATACAGGCTCAGAGCCTCAAAACAGACCCAAAACAGGACAAAAACAGCAAAATCAGCCACAAAACACCCCCAAACCAACTTGGGAGGCTTCTCCTCTGGGATACAGGGTCAGACCCCAAAACAGCCCCAAACCAGGCCAAAACCAACCCAAAACATCCAAAACAGCCCCAAAACAACCCAAAACCACCCCAAAAAACCCTTGTCCTGCTTCTCCTATGGGATACAGGGTCAGAGCCCCAAAACAGGGCAAAACCAAGACCAAAGCAGGCCAAAACACCCAAAACAACCCCCAAAACAGGCCAAAACCACCCCAAAATCATCTTGTCCGGCTTCTCCTATGGGACACAGGTCAGAGTCCCAAAACAGGAAAAAACCAACCCAAAACCACCTGGAACTGCTTCTCCTGTGGGATACAGGCTCAGAGCCCCAAAACAGACCCAAAACAGGACAAAACCAACCCAAAACACCCATAAACCCAGCCCAAAACCACCTTGTCCTGCTTCTCCTATGGGATACACGGTCAGAGCTTCCAAACAGCCCCAAAACAGCATAAAAACGGTCATAAACCCCCAAAAGAGCCCCAAAACACCCCAAAACCACCTTGTCCTGCTTCTTCTATGAGATACAGGGTCAGAGCCCCAAAACAGGACAAAAACAGGCCAAAACCACCCCAAAACCACCTTGTCCTGCTTCTCCTATGGGAAACAGGTCAGAGCCCCAAAACTGGACAAAACCACCCCAAAACCACCTTGTCCTGTTTCTCCTGTGGGACACAAGTTCAGAACCCCAAAACAGGCTCAAAAAAGGATAAAAACAACCAAAAACTATTCAACCCCCCCCAAAACCACCCCAAAATCACCTTGTCCTGTTTCTCCTGGGGGATACAGGGACAGAGCCCCAGAACAGCCCCAAAACAGCCCAAAACTACCTTGTCCATATTCTTCTATGGGATACACTGTCGGAGCCCCAGAACAGCTTCAAAAGAGGAGAAAAACACTCCAAAAACCCCTAAAACAACCCCAGAACAGGACAAAACCAACCCAAAACACACAAAACCACTCCGAAACCACCCCCCCAAACCACACCAAAACCACCTTGTCTTGCTTCTCCTGTAGGACACAGGGTCAGAGCCTCAAAACAGCCCCAAAACAGGACAAAACCAACCCCAAAGCATACAAAACCAAGACCAAACCACCCTAAAACAACCGCAAAATCACCTTGTCCTGCTTCTCCTATGGGACACCGGGTCAGAGCCCCAAAATAGGCATAAAACAGGTGAAAACCACCCTAAAACACCCAAAACCACTCCCAAACCAGTCCAAAGCACCTTGTCCTGCTTCTCCTATGGGTGGCACCCAGTGAGAACCCAAAACAGCCCCAAATCACCCCAACCCCCCCAAATGGAACCTTCTGGAGGTCGCTGTGGAGCTGCTTTAGCCTGGCCTCGAGCTGCGACACCTTCTGGGGTAGGTCCAAGGCTGGGGGGGGGGTGTGGGGAAGGCAAAGGGGAATGGGGGGGGGGCCACTGGGGTGTCCCCATATTGGAGGGGGGTCCCAGCCCCACATACAAGGGGGACATGGGGGGGGTCTCCATATAGGGGGGTCCCTGGACCTGATGGGGGGGGCGCCCCCCCGTGGCCTCTCCAGGGGTAGGGGGGGGTCGGGGCTCAGCACCGGCTCCGTGAGGGAGAACAGGGACACGGCCCTTTGCACTGGGGGGGTGGCACATCAGCACCCCAAAACCAGACCAAACCAGCCTAAAATACCCCCAAACCAGCCCTAAACAGCCAAAATACCCCAAATCCAGCCCAAAACAGCCAAAATACACCCAAACCAGCCTAAAATATCCCCAAAACCAGCCCAAAACACCCCCAAACCAGCCCAAAATATCCGCAAAACGGCCCAAAATATCCGCAAAACGTCCCAAAACACCCCAAAACACCCACAAAGCAGTCTCAAACACCCCAAACCACTCCAAAACCACCCTGAAACAGCTCAAAACACCCCAAAACCAGCCCAAATCCCCTCCACAACAGTTTAACACCCCCAAAGCACCCTGAAACAACCCCAAGCACCCTCAAAACACAAGAAAACACCCCAAAACACCCCTAAAAGAACCCAAAACACCCAAAGCACCCTGAAAACCAGGCCAAAACGGCCCCAGAACTCATAGAGGAACCACACAGGCGTCACAGAGCAGTCATAGAGGTGTCAGAGTGTCATAGAGGAGTCATAGGGGAGTCAGAGAGGGGTCATAGAGGAGTCAAATAGGGGTCAATGAATGGTCATAGATGGGCCAGAGAGGAGTCAGAGATGCCAGGGATGGGGCAGCCACAGCTTCTCTGGGCAAGAGTCTGCGACTCCCTCCCTAGCCTGGATGTGAGGAAGATTTTCCTACTGTGATATGAAACAAAAAAAAAAAATAATTGAAATGAAATTAAATCTTTTTCCACATGGAACCATTGTGAGTCCTTAAAAATTATTATCAATCTGAAAAAACCTCTGACATTTCAGGCAAATAACAGGCTCATCATTATTTGAATAACGGTCAGTGCACAGATTAAAAGGGAACAGCACAGCACCTCAGATTGCCTCACAGCTTAGCGCAGCACAGCACGGCATGGCACAGAACAGCAGAGCACAGCAGAACACAGCACAGCTCTGGAGATCCTCCTGCTCTGATATCCCAGTATCTGGAGGTGAACTCACCCCCAGCCCGCAGTGCGGATCATCGGGCCCACGTTCTGGGGAGATGCTGTCTCAGGCAGTCGGCTCTGTCCCCTCTGCCTTGACAAACTGCCACCACAATCCACAAGTGGCCCGTGCCCACTGCGCCCAGAGCCTGGGATGCAAAGCACAGAATTACAAGGGTGTCCCGGTCACACGGGGAACCCCAAATGTGGTTTTACACAGGGTTCTCACGCCCTTCAAACACTCACGTACCAACAATTGGACAAAGACCAGCGCCCTCACTGCCAATGACCAGTCCTGGTCAGACTCTGCCAGGCGCTCACGCTACTTCTGCTGCAGTCCTGCTCTTGTCTATTGATGCAGATGCCCCTGGAGCCAGTCCTGCAAGAGATACTGATGAATGGTGTGCGGGACAGTGGGAGGGTTTCAAAGACATGCTGGAGGGGCTGGGATTCTGACATTATTTCTGCTGTGCTGCAATACCTCTTCTCCTTCACCGACAGCTCTAAGATACCCTAAAGAAAAGTCCTAGTTCCAGGGCTGGGCTGAAGCTTCAAGGACAAATCCACTACCTCATCATATTACAGTGCACATAGAAATATATATAGACACATGTATAAATAAAAGAGCTATGGATACTCTAAAGACTGGTTGATGTAGGAGTTAGTTGGAAAAGAATTTTCATAACGTGCCTTGTGGGTCCCACTAAACAGGGTCCCAAATGCCAGTGACAGGGGGAGGAGAGGCAGCAAAGATGCCATCCCAGAGCGATCGCTCTCCTGAGAAGGGGGAGGAAAAAGCAACCCAAAAGTGAAACAGCCTGAAGCAAACCCTGATGTTCCCTCCCTCAGCTGGCAGACACACTGCCTTCCTGCAGTGTCATTTCTCTGATGAGAGACAGAGTTAAGGCAAAAAATCAACTTTTCTCAGCATCACAGAATCATTTCATTTGAAAAGACGCTTGAGAACATCGAGTCCAGCCATTAACCTGTCCCTAACAACCTGACAACATCAACATCTCTGTGGGATACCCTGTCTGGATGGTCACCAACAGCAACTTTAAGTCCAATTTTACAACTTACTGTAATTTCACTCATTTCCATTCTATTCTGTTTGTTGTTAAACATTCGGCTCTATGGTAGAGCATGGAAATCAGCTGGACAAGTTATGGGATTGCAGAAACCTCTTGGCATAAATCAGGGGACTTAAACACCTGGAACAAACTCTTAACCACTGAGTAAACCAACCCAACTTTTCCCTCAGTTTATAACTGGAATTCAGCACTACTCTGTTTGGAGGCACAGAGGCAAGAGGTGACCACACTGCTCTGCGAGAAGGAGGGATTGAGGGGGACCCTTGCTGCTGTTTCTCCCAGAACACAGGTGAGGAGGGAATGAAATATTATCTTTAATAACGCAAATACATTTCAGTTACCATGGAAAATACAGAACAAGATGCTAGAGCCCTACAGGTTTTACAAGGAAGAGCACCAATGAACTAAACATTCCCTCCTGTGCTCTTTCCTTTCCCACCCATAGATAGTTTCTTCAGTAACTTTCAAGTGCACGACACAGAAGAGATCTGTGTGTCTGCTGCACGTGAAGGGGAAAAGTTCCTTTGGGTGTTAGAGCTGTAAAGTCAGATTTATCTCCAAAGCAACTCAATCATGTACCAAGGAAAGAGTCAGGGCATTTTCAGCTCTGTCTTGAACACTGCCAGCCATGGGGCAGCCACAGCTTCTCTGGGCACCCTGTGCCACTGTCCCACCACCCTCACAGGGAACAACTTCTAAGATCTCATCTCAATCTCCCCTCTCTGTCACGTTAAAATCGTTCCCCCTTGGCCCATCCCCACAGGCCCTTGCTCTCCCCACAAGAAATGAGGGCAGATCCCAGGATCATCCCTCGGCAGCCGCAGCGCTCCGCTGCCGGCTCAGCCAGCCCAACTCACACACCGAGTCCAAAGCAGCCACTCTGGGGAAGTCTCTTGAGGTGTTCTGGCAACTCCTACAGCACCCCAAGATCGCCATCGCCACCCACCTCCTTCCACGCTCCTCTGTCCACAGGCGCCACCGGCTCCGAGACACCAAGACGGGAACCACCAGAGGAGCTGCTCTTGCCTCCTCCACCGGTAGCTTGTGTTCCGTGGGGCAGCTGTCGTCTCCAGTGCCTCTGCTGGAGGGTTCTGTGGGGTTCTGTGGCCTCACACACCTGAACACGGGGAGTTCCAGAATCAGCCACCCCTGTGGTCCCCATGTCCCCAAGGTCATTGTGATGCATGAGCTCTGACTGGGTCCATGGGGTGCTCTGGAGGTGCTGCAGGCATTCTCTGGGATTCTCTAGGGGTATCCCCAGGATGCCCTGGGAGTGCACAGAGACACAGGGCCGTGGAGCAAGCTGCTCTAGTGGAAGGTGTCCCTTTGGGGGTTGGAGCTGGCTGAGCTTTAAGGTCCCTTCCAGCCCACTCTGGGATTCCATGATTCTCTGCTGTGCCAACGTCGGTCCCTCTCCACTCCTCGGAGGTGGCCGTGACGCCCTGTTCCATGGCCCACGTTGAGCTGTGACCCCTCGCATGCTCCACCTCCGGACCAAAGGCACTGAGGAAGAGCAGCCCGTGAGGGACCTCCCCGAGCCGGCTGGGCAGAGGCTGCTCCCCCCGCAGCCACTCCCGGAGCACCCCTGGCTGCCCAGTGGCCATGGGCACGATGCTGCCGCCATCCCAAAGCCGTGACGGTCGCTGTGGATTTGCCCATTGTGACGGGGCCCCCACGGTGAGCGTGGGCTCTTTAAGGAGGGAGAGCCCTGCAGTAACCGGTGCAGAGGAGAGCCCTCCCCTCCCTCGGGGCTTCATGCAACCAAAAACGGGGGTGGGGTGGGCAGGGAAGGTGCGGGGGTGTCATTAAGTGCCTGTTGATGAACTGTCTGTGGGGAAGGGGGAGGATGGACCTCACCTCCCCCCCAGCACCCCAAAACGGGGGGCGTGGATGTGGGGGAGGGTGCCAATGGACACAACCTCCCATCCCCCACCCGGGGGTGTCGGGGGGTGGCACCTCCCCCCCTCTTTATACCCGGGATGGGAGAGGGGAGGATAAAGGGGGGATGGGGGGGGGTCTATCCGAAGCCTTATTGACACCGATGTAAAAGGGGGGGGGGGGGGAGAGGTCACCTTAAGAATGTATGAAAAGGAAACTTAACCAATAAATAAAGATTTCACAGGAAATCGAGGCCCCCTCTCCCCCCCCGTGTTTCGGCCTTTCCCCATCCCCGTTCCGCGATGCTCTCCGCACTTCCGGGTTGGATGCCGCCGTTGCCTAGCAACGGGGTCTCCACGTACCGCTTCCCATGCATTACACACACACACACACACACACACACACACACACACACACACACACACACACACACACACCCGGCCTCGTTCTGGCGAGCGTTGCCCAGGCAACAGCCAATCAGCTCTGAGCTCCCCAACTCGTGTCCCCGTTTATCCCCTCCCGGCTGCCCCCCATGGGGCTGAATATGGGGCCTTTCCTCGCCCTCCCCCCCCCCCCGTTTTTTCCCCCTCTTCCCCTCCCCCACCGCATACCCATCTTCCCCCCTGCCCCCCTTATGCCCCCCATTCCCCCTCCCCTTTCCCCTTTTCCCACCCCATTCCCCACATTCCTGCCATTTCTCCCCCTCCATCCCTCCCCATTTCTCATCCCACCATTGTTACCCCCCCTTATTTACATGCAATTAAGCGCAGGACCTGCTTTATCCACACGCACTTCATGTAGGGCTGACCTTATTTA